ATAAGGAGTTAGCACCATAATAGAAGCTATGTGTCATGGTTTATTAAATTCAACAAATACTTACTAAGTACAAGGTGCTGTGTTAAGCATTTAAATAGGAGACAAAGGACAACCAATAATAGCTCTTTATGGTGGGATTCTTTTTTTGTTTGCTCATTCTTCCAGCCTACTTCTTGACTCTGGACTTTATGTTAGTTAGGGCTAAGTTCTGTGTACTTCTGGGGAGAATGTCTTGACTGAACTTCTTGTGTCCTTCGGCTGTCTTTCCAGTTCAGGCTGGGGATCTGAAAGTTTCCAGGGTTCCCCAAATGATATGATCTGGGCAAAGTCTACTCATTGCCCTCCTGGACTGAGCTCTCCTGCCCCAGGTTTGGGTCTATCAGTTTGTCTCTGCTTGGGACTTTCTGTAGACTGCAGCTTGACTCAGCCACTGTGAGGTGCTGCCGGTTCAGAATGACTCAACTGCAAGTATATCCCCTTTCATCTAGGATTCCTGCCCTGGTTATTATTCTACTACAGGCTTCAGCCTGGGCTGGAAGGTGATAAGAGTCCCTGCTCTGCTGCTGGGAAAAGAGCTACACAGCTTCTGTTTACTTCTGAATTTGTTCCTTACTTAGTACACAGCTAGGGCTCAGGCCTCCCACTCCTCAATCTGCTTTCTATTTGTGACTCAGGAGTGGGTAGTGGGTAACAGAGCTGCTACATGGCACCCATTCCTGGTTCATTCAGGGATCTTTTTTGAGCTCTTCTTGCCTTGGTGCTTCCTGCCCTGTGGTCCAGTCCCAATCCTCTTTCAATTCCTGAAGGCTGGAATGCACACCCTGAAGCCACTCCTGGCCAAGTCCCATCCTTATGTCTGCAGACCTCTCTGTCCATCTCCCTAAGCTGTCCTGGGCTGGAAAAATGAATCACTGTGACTTTTTCTTGGATTTCCCAATTAGAATTTGGTCTAGTGTGTTTTAAACTTTTGTGGAAGAAGTATGTGGAAGAAGTAGCTAGGGAAGGAAATAAAAAAGGAAAGGGAAAGAAGGAAGTCAATACCATGGAGTTACATATTCCTGCTCTAATGTTATAAAAAATGCCATCTAACAAAATATTGTGCTGACATATAATTATTACAAAGAAATGCAGGCTAAGCATCCAACATGTGTTTTAAAAATACATTGTTATCCACACCCACAGAAAGAAATCGGGAGTCTGAATGCAGATGGAATCATTTGCTCTCCTTTTCCTTTGTTGCTTTGTTTTATTGCTTCATTCTTGTGGTTCCTCCCATTAGTTCTAATTGTTCTTTACATCATGACTAATGGGAAAATATGCTTAACATGAATGTCTATGTAGAGCCTATGTCAGATTGTACACTGTCTTGGGGCAGGGAAAAGAAGTGGGAGGAGGAGAAAATTTAAAACTCAAAATCTTATGGAAGTGGTATCAAAAACTAAAAATAAATAATAAAAAAATACATTGTTAGGTCAGAGTAGTAGTATACTATTATATATGTTGCAGACAGGGAGTAGTGAGGTTTTTTGGGGCGGGGGAGGGAATATTATTTCCTTTTACTTCTAAGAAAAGCTCCTCTTAAAGATATCTGAGTTTCATCTACGGGGGGAAAAAGGATTGACACCTCCCCTTCCCACCTACCCCCCCCATACCACTAGATTCTTCTGTGACCATGGCAGCAGGATCAGATCAGCTCTCGAGCTACAGAAGTCAGCTTTGACTGGTTCCTTCCTCTTGAGTTACTTCTACATAGATGTAGTCATTCATGATGACTGTCTTTTCTTATTTCAATTTAAAAATTAATTTTCTTTTATGTTCTCCCTCCACTATCACCTCACCACCACCCACAGTCCACCCAAATGAGTATTTCTGATTTTGGCCTACCAGAAATAAAGCAGGCTGGATCTCATATGAAACTTATATAGTCCTCACCCCACTCCCTACTGTGCAAGGAGCTTAAAACACTGGGAGAACATATTCAATATTCAAAGATTTTTGTAAACATGGGAACTTCTGCTTCATGGCCAGGAAGTATTATTAGTAAATTGCTCTCTTTAATGGAAGTGAACTCCTATATTTATTTAAGGCATAATTTTTTTTTTTTACCTTGTCTTACTTGAGAATTCTGTAGCCTCTTACCCTCTTATTTGTCCTGGTGCTACTACTCTTATCTGGTTTCTAATATTTGTATACTTCAAGAATAAGCTCCTTAATGGCAGGGACTGGGCTGGTTCTTTGTTTGTTTTTAATTTGTGCATGACCAGTGCCTTGTTCGTGTATAGTCGGTGATTCATAATTATTGAATTGAACTGTCACTGTGTGCCTTCTCCTCAAAGGCAAAGTCAGTCAAAAAACATTTATTAAGTGCCTACTATGTGCCAGACTTTGTGTTAAGCGCTGGGCTAATCTTAAGCCTTTAAAAAATATTGCACAAGGTGGCATATGCTTAAACAGATACTGTTTTCAAGCCCTATGTTCTCCTTCCCAGTAAGAGAACTGATGGAACTTTGAGAATCGTATTCTACCTACACATCTATGTTTGCTAAGACAGAAATCTTTTAATAAGATGTAAAAATTCTGACATTAGGTTCAGAAAATCACATATCTAAGGAAGTATACAAAAGTGGGTAAGTTTTCCAATGGCAAATTAACTTTTTTGCACAGGAATGAGATATACGCTGCCTTGCAAAACTGCCAAAACGAGAACATTTAGACAGGATATATCTGCTTGTTCTTGTTTATACCTTAGAAAAGTTTCTTAATTCTAGCTGTTCCTGCACCAAAGCTGTTTCAGTAATATCACATACAATATATTTTATGAGTTAAAAGATTCTCTATGACACAGTGGTTTCAAAAATTTGTCCCTATGTATCCTAATATTAATTTGTGCATATGTGTGCATACACACACACTGGTTATACAACCAGATAGATTAAAAGGGAATATTTGTTTAAAGGATCATCAATCTAAAAAGATAAGGATGTCATCTACTTGTTTTATAAATGCTTCTTTTAAAATCCTAATAAAAGGGGCAGCTAGGTAGCGCAGTGGGTAGAGCACCAGCCCTGAAGTCAGGAGGACTGAGTTCAAATCCGGCCTCGGATCAAATACATGACACTTACTAGCTGTGAGACCCTGGGCAAGTTACTTAACCCCAACTGCCTAAAAAAAATAAAATAATTAAAATCCTAATAAAAGATAAAATAAAGTTTTCAGCCCTGAAATTCTTACAGAAAATTTTAAGTATAACATATACATCTCTGCTTTGAAACAGTTTGCTACCATTATTTATTGTCATCATTCTACAGTTTTAATAAAAGAGGATTTTTAGAATGGCATGGCCTAATGAAGAGTGACTGAGCCACTCCCCTCATCTCTCAAATCTAATCAGTTGCTAAATCTGTAAATGTACTTCCACTTTTCTAGCTTCCATCCCCTTCTCTCCATTCACAGTGCCTCTATCCTAGCTCCCACCAGGACTATTAAAATAACTTCATATTTGGTTTCTCTGCATCCAGTCTCTTCCCTTTCTAATTTACCTTCCACATAGACAGCAAAATTGTCTTCCAAAGACATGTCTGATCATTTTATTCCCCAGCTCAAAAACTTACTATCTATAGGAAAAAATACAAATTCCTTGCCTTAGCATTTTAAATCATCCATGACCTGGCACTGACCTTAAATTTCCAGTCTTATTTCATTATTCCTCATCCTAAATATGTTCTAGGCAAACTGTATATTACCTCTATGCTTTCCCTTAATCAATTTCCTATACCTGAAATGCACTCCCTCTTTGCATCATAGAATCTTTTTCTTCTTTCATGGTTTAGAAAAATTATGATCTCCTCTTTAATAAAGTTTTTCCGGATTCCTTCCCCTCCTCTACTTCAGTGTTCTCTCCCTTTCAATTCCCCCGCCCCCAATAATATGTAAACTTCTTGAAGGCTGGGACTGTATTCCCAAACTGTAGTACAGTGTCTTTCTTATAGTAGAGGCTTAATAAAGAATTGTTGAACTGAACTGAAATATAAAAATTATTATGGCATCTAAAAAATTTCTAAAACAATGTCAGTTACTGAACAAGAAAGATACTGCACTACCCAACTGACTAGGGGCAGTGTGGCAGAATGAAAAAAGGAATAGATTTAGAGTCAGACGATCTGGATTCCAGTCCCAGATTTACTGATTTCTAGCCATCTATCAACTAGCATTTATTAAGGTACTACTATGTGATAGAACAGACACTGTGCTAGGTGCTGGGGAGACAAAAAAAAATGATGTAATTCCTTTAGCTTACATTCTATCATGGAAGACTATCTATACATACACATACACAAACAGAATAAAGACAATATAAATGTGATAGTTTAAGGAGCACAGACAGAAGCAGTTGTGGCAATCAGGAAAGTGTTCATGAAGAAGCTAATGCTTGAGCTAAATCTTGAAGGAAGTTCAGGACACAGTAAGGTATAAGTTAGAAGGGGGAGTGTTCCAGGCACAAAGTATAGCCAATGAAAGGCACAGAGACAGGAGATGAAGTACCACCTGTGATGAATGGCAAGAAGGTCAGTTTGTCTGGTAAGAGTACAGGAAAGGAAGTGCATATTGAGGCTGGAAAGGTAGGCTGGGTCCATGCTGTGAGGTGCTTTAAAAGAGAAATGTGTATTTAATTTCTGAAGCAACTGGGAACCACTTGAGTTTATTGAGTATTGGGGCAAGGGAAAGAATATGGTCAGACTTGTAGAAGATAGACTGGAGTGGAGAGAGCCTTGCTGCTCTTTTATCATCTTAAATGAGTAAAATTAATAAATTATGCAGAGAAAAAAACTGTTATTAAGTTGTTTTATTAACATCTCATCAAATTTTAAAGTAATATAATCACTGTAGTGAGGTATTTCCTAAAACAGGCACCTCCTTTGAAAATTCACATTAGTAATGGGCCTAATTCATGAAGCAAATTGGAATTTCTTTTTATATAAATAGGATTCATGAGATTTCAATTACGAACAAGACAAGTATATTTATTATATGAAGTAAAATTTGATGAAGCCCAGTATTACAAAGGTGTTTTTAAATGGCACTCTGAGGATCTGTTGAACCATGCCTCTCCACCTTTTTTTTTTTTTAAACAGACCTGAAGATCCTATTGGCCTCCACCCACATCCCCATTTTTAAAGAATTTCCTCTGAAGTATAAGATCACCAAATTGAAAAATAATTTCAGGATACAGCTTAAAAGTTTAAAAAACAATGTGGCCAAAATGAGAAAATTTTTAAAATATAAAATATGACAGTGTGTCATCAAGAAAAAAATACGCTTTGAAGCACAACACTCATATGTTCCACAAAAATAATTCTAACCAAAACAAAACATTTAAAAATTTTCCCAAAATTAAAATGGGCTATTTATTTTTTTCCACTGATAGGAATGGAAATCCTTATGTATTACATATTTGCCTTTATTAAATGGGTTTGTAATTAAAATATTATCAACTACTCAGTATAGAAAATAAAAAATAAAATTCTATTTAAAACCTCCAAATAATAAGTACCAAAGAGAAAGAGATGTACCAAACTGTTCCACTGATATGATTTAAGAAAGCAAAAATAGTCCAAATATTATTACATTAACATGTGACATTTTTCTGTTTTATTATAAATCTTAATCTTTGTGGGACAAAAGCCTAAAAGATAAATTAGGAACAGTTTTGAAGAATATCACTTGTGCATTTCAGGTGCATTACAGTAGTTCTATTTTCAGAGAAGCTATTGGGAATTCAGATACAAATGTCAAATAATGGAATTTGGTCAAGCAACTCTAAACACCACTTTTACTTAATATGCACTACATGCACATGATGCAGGTAAGGGGAAAAGATTGTATGAATTCATGCATTCAAAGTGAGACAGATTGTTACTATTGTCAAACGTGCGCTGGACCAGATAGGATGTTGTTACAAGTCCTGTATACTTATTGTTTTTTCATCAAAGTAAGATCAGAAGCATCTTCCTCCAAGAATCTTCTTCATTTGGTTTCCTGAGCTTTCTTCGCATTCTGTTTTTCTTTTGCCTAGAAGTTAAAAGATACACTATGACTCAAATTCAAGAGCAACAATTATACAAGGTTTTCCCTTATAACTTGAAATATATATATTTTCTAGGATATACTGAATGCGTACCTTTGTTGAAATGCTTTCGCCACCTGAGCCTTTCTGTGAAATGATTTATAAAGATCATTCCCTTCATTCATAAATAGAAACCACTTAAGATTATAATTAATTTCCAGGTTCTGTCTATCTGAAACTGATCTTTCAACTTTGTTACTCTGAACAGCTTGCTCCATAAATACATTAACTTCTTCAATTATAATAATATTAGTAATCGACATTTATACAGTGCTTCAAGATTTATAAAGTCTTACATAAATATGATCTACATATTTATTAAGATGCAATAATGGTAGGTTCCAAAGGATTATTTTCCCCATTTTATAGATAAAGAAACTGGGACTCAGTTAAGTGACTTGACCATGGCCATACAGTTAGTATGAGAGACAGAATCTGAACCCATGTCTCTAAGTTCAGTGTTTCCACTATACCAATCTAGGTGTACCTAAGCAAAAGTGAAAATGAATTTGTTGTTCTCATTAATATTCTCCTTAACAAGAGCTTAGACACACATAATATTAAAATTACATCGAACATAATAAGTTGTTTTGTGCTATAAGGAATCTAAAAAAAAAAATCATATTGAGGTCATCATTATGAATATTATTATTGTAGCATTCCATGAAATGCCCTTTAAAATGGCTTGAAAAAAATTAATCCCAATACTTATTTGTTTGTCATGTGTTTTTTCCATGAAAGCAGAAGAAAGAAAAACCTCAGTTCTCTGACTTTTCTTTTCAAAATGTTCAAATTCTGGATAAATTAAAATTTACTTCAAGAATGTTATTACAGAATTATGTGTATAAGAAGGTAATATACTTCAGTACAGACTGAAAAAAAATCTTAAGAAATAAATTTCTATTATGCAACTTAATTTTATGCTGAGGTACAAAAAAGGAGATAGAAAGAGGAAGCTAAATCTGAGGTATTAGTAAAATTGTAAGATAACTCAACATGAACAAAGAAAGCTTTCTCTACAAAATGCTTCCTCATCTTAAAAACAACATAGAAGAGTAAGCCATAACTTTACTTTAAATATGGACAATGGATCACATAGCAAATAAAATCATGTTGTCTAAGTTTAAATAGAATACGGGTTTATTCACCTATTGTGCCCACATATACCATTTGCTGAGTGGGAGGAAGGGGAACAAACATTTATTAAGTGCCTATTGTGTGCCAGGCAGTATGCTTAGCACTTTACAAATATTATCTTATTTGATCCTTATGACAACCCTAGGGAGGTACTATTATTATCCCCAACTTTACAGTTGAGGAAACTTGCCCAGGGTGACAAAACTACTAAGTGTAACATCTGAACTCAGGTATTCCTGATTCCAGCTCCACAGCTTCATCAACTTCGTCACCTACCTGCCTCTGTACACAAGTATTAATCCATTAATATTGAACAAAGCTTCCATTTCATAGAATGAGAATTCAACTTGAAAAACAAATACTTATTTTATTTCTTTCTTTACTCATTCTTGAATATACTTTCAAATTTAAAGAAAACTAAAACCTAAGGATGATTTCATTGTTTTGACAACCTCCTTAATACAGCAAATGAACAAAAATAACGTAGAAGTATGAGGACATTTATCCCTTGCACGATCTTGATTAATAGAAAATTAAGGGGATATAAAGCAGAACACAATCACAGAAGAAAAATAAATCCTCTTAAGAAAAACAAAAGTATCAGTTTTAAACAACTTGTGCAAAATGGTACACACAATCAACAAAACAAGTATCCCTCCGCATATTAAGATACTATTTAGATGATGGAATTGATTGATGATTTTAATGATTATATGTTAAATATGAATGGCTTCACTACTCTTCTGCTATCATATGTAAAAGACATCTAATATGAGGATATGTACACACAAAAGAAGTTCCAAAGGGAAGTCCCCAAATTGTTGCCAGTTTAAGTATCACTTCTATTTGGAAATATGTATCAGGTTACTAATTGTGATGTAACCCTGTTTTCCTATACTAGATTGATACATTTTGTCATAGCTATGGTGCCATCAGGTTACAATGGATAGAAAAGACTGTACAGAAAGAACAGAAAGAAAACATGGTACAATTTACATTATTATAAATTCCATAATTAAATAATAAACATGTAGAAAAATATATACATCACTCAAGCAGAATCAATGCAACAATTCAATTCAATTTCAATGTTATGAACATTTATTAAACATCTTTTACATGAAGAACATTGTGCTAGATACTAGGAGAGAGAATCAAAATTATACAGTCTCTTCCCTCATTGAGCTCATACTTTGGTAGGGGGATGGACCACATACAAAGTAATTAAAATACAAAACTGAACATGGTAAATACTAGCAGCTGAGAAATAAGGAAAGGCTTTATTCAGGAGACAGTGAGTGATTTCTATCTTGAAAGAAGGGAGATGGCATTCTAGGCATGAGGGAATAGCCAGTTCAGGGGCAAGGAGAAGGAAGCTGTCCCTTGTGTGGATGGAACAAAGTCAGCTTACATCACAGAGTGCACTAGGGTAGTAATGTCCAGTGAGGCCAGAAAGATACAAGAAGGCCATATGATATAAGGTTTTCAAAGCTAAACATTTAAGTTTATGTTTTATGCTAAAGGGAACAAAAGTCACTGGAGTTGACTGAGTAGAGGAGTGATAAGATCAAATCTGTACTTAAGAAAAATTACTTTGATAGCAATGTACAGGACAAACTAGAATGTAACAGGTTTCAAATAGGAAGATCAATCAGGGTTGCAATAATCTAAGTAAGAGATGATGAAGGTCTGAAGATGGTAGCTGTGAGTAGTGAAAGGAACAGATATGAGAGATGTGAAATAGAGATGGTAAGACTTGGCAACTGCCTAGGCATGTAGATAAGGCAGAGTGAAGAGTCAGGAATGATATCAAAGTTACTAACCAGGGACACTAGAAGAATGATGTTTCCTTTCAAAAGAAATTGGGAAGAGAAGTGAATTTCGCATAAAATATGAGTTCCACTTTGAACACGTTGATTCTGAAATGCCTCCAAGAAATCTAGTTTGAAATTTTTTTAAATGGCAACTGGTGTCACAGGATTGAAGCTCAGGGAAGATAGTGGGGCTGAATATATAGATCTGTGAAGCACTACCATAAAGACAATAATTATAACCATGGGAATTGATAAAGGCACCAAGATAAAGTATAGAGACAAAAGAGGGTCTAAGAGCCTCAAGGAAAACTCACACTTAGGAGAAGTAATTATGGATGATGAGCCAACAAAGAAGCTATTTTTAAAAGTCTATGGGAAAATGGAAACAGTTTTTCTCTCATGGATAGGGAAATGGTTTAGAGACACCTTTATTCTGGAATAACTTAGTGACAACAATCTTCAAACTTGAAGATTTCATTGCATTGGTCTTCCCAATACTATATAAAAATGTTAAATAATGATGGTCCTAATACTAATCCCTCAGGAACGATGCCATTACACCATGATGTGGAAAGGACTAAGGTAATCTAATTATAGAAAATAAGTAATTTCTATAAAATGGTAGGCTGTGGATTCCAAGTCACACATTTGGAAAAGGAACTTGGGAATCTTTATAAAACATTCCCTGAAGACAGCGAATCAACGTACAACAGAGGCCAAAAAGGCCAATAAAAAATAATTCATTCTAGAAATTCATTTTGGAAATTTACACAAAATCACTGTGCCACAGCATTTTAAATACTAGGTGCTATTTTGGGAAGTTCATTCATTCAACAAACAACATTAATGATTTGTCTGCTTAACACAAAGAAATACAAAAGAAAAATATTGTTCCTGCCACACTTCCTGGAGAATACAACATTGTTCATAGGTTAAATCAATGTAAGATAATTTGAAGAGGTAAAGCAAACAAATAGAAAATCTGGAAATGCTTTGCAAAGGAGGTAGTATATGAGTAAAGACTTGAAGGAAGCTAAGGATTCTAAGAGAAATGGCTGAGAAGGACAAGCACTTCAGGCTTGAGCAAAGGCCCAAAGTCTAGAGATAGAATGCCAGGTTCTGGGCACAGATCATAGGCCAGTCTGGCAGGAACAGAATATGTGAAAGGTAATGATGTGAAATAAATTAGAAAAGGTGAAGTGACAGTCAGATTGTGATGGAAGCAGGAAAGGTAATGTTATTAGAAACTATTTGAGATGTGGAGACAGAACCTATGAGGCTTGGTAACTATCCAAATATGTGAAGTTGGAGAAAGGAAGGAGCTTAATGATAACTGCAAGGTTGTAAACCCAAGTGAATGAAAAGATGGTGGTACCCTCAAAAGAAGTAAGGAATTTGGAAGAGGCATGGGTGGAGATAAGTTTCATTTCTGACATGTTGACTTTGAGGTTTATGGCATACCCATGTTGAGATGTCTAGCAGGAAGTTGCACATCTAGATTGATATATCTAGCAGGAAGCTGAGATCAGGAGGGAGAGGTATAGATCTGTAGAGATGAAATTTTAATCCATCAGAACTGATAAGGCAATCAAGGCAGAGAACAGAAAAAGTATTAAGGAACACACCCACACCTAGTAGGTACGAGATGAATGGTGATTCTGCAAAGGAAAATGAGATGATTCACACAAGAGGGAAATCAGAAAGTTGGAGAGAATATTCAGGATGAAGAAGGCAGTTATATTCTAGTTCAACATTTTTAAAAAAGTGGTATGATCAATATTGTTTGCTATATAGCCTGTGTATCTAATTTCTGGTACAGATTTAAAATGTAAGAATGTAAAGCTAACTATGCAAACTTGTTAATCAAGAACTACTTATCAAAGTATATTCAGAATTACAGTAAGTATTAAAGGATTATGAGGGGATTAAGATTGATCCTGTATCATTTTCTTATTGATCCTGTAGTAATGGATTTTGTCCTGCAACTGCTTAAGTCATGGTTCTTTGTCTCTAAACAAAGTTCTGAGTTCAGCTGGCCTTTAATGGGTTAAGTTTAAAAATCTAGCTCTTCTTACCTCAAGGAACTTTGAAATGAAATGTACAGGAAAACAAAACAAAAAAAGTTTCTGGTCTCAAAGAGTTTGCATTCTACAGGGAAGATACTCTAGAAAACAGTGTTTAGTTCCAGGAAACATTTGAAGAACAAACAACAAACATGTTCTCTCCATTGCACTATGCAGTCTCCCATAACAGGGGTTAACAGGTTGTTTTTTTTTTTAAATGCATGAAAAATAAACATGTTTAAAGAAGCATAATAAGAGGAAAAAGTAAAAGGTAATTCAATAAATCCAAAAGCAATAAAATAAAATGAAAGAGTAATACATAGCAATCTGAATCTACCTTTTAATATTACTAGTTACTCATAGAGTGCCATCTAATGTCCAAAATTGTATGTAATGTTAATTCAAGTTTCAAGGCAAGGAAGTATTCTGATTTCTAAAGCAAAAATAAGACAATGTCTGGTAATTACAGCTAATTGAAAGCAAATTTAAAGATCACAGTTTCATGGCTCCAACTTCCCTTTTCCAATATGATATTTCTTGATACTCATGTATAGAAGACACGAAGAGCAGAATAGATTTGAGAACAGTTTATTTTTCTTATAACAAAATGCTAGAATTTCAAGCTAGAATTTGGAATCTGTGATAACGTTGACAGGTCCAGGCTGAAATTTTGTTCAGTAAATTTTCACACTAATAGTAATAAAGCTGAAGAAACCATGATTAAAAGCATAAAACTCTTAAAAATTTTTTTAAAAAGCATAAAATTACTTTCAAGGACTATTAAAGCACTCAATATATACGGCAGATACTAATGATCAAAATATATATACTTGTTAGCAATGTTATTTAGGCAAATTATTTATCAGTCTAGTTTGACTTGCTATTATGTACCTAAAAATATTAAATCTCTATTTCTTATTAATATTTTATAATTTAGATTTCTATAATTCAAGCTAGTTTTTTTCCCTTGAGCAAAGAGATTTAGACTAGGAATGAAGAGATCATGATTTTTGTTATGGCCAGTTGTGGGAATTTGGAAAAGTCACTACATCGTTTCAGGCCTGAGTTTCCTCCTCTGTAACCTAAGGGAACTGAACTCTATATCATCTCTTCCAGGTCTAAAATTCCTGTCCTGATTCCAGTTCGAATTTGTAATGTTCTACTGTATTTCCAACCCTCAAGATTTTTCAAAAATCATTTTTCATCAAGGGACAAGATAAACATGGAGCTAATTCTTCAACTAAATCTTAGAACTCAATACTGGAAATTCAGAAAATGCGAAAGCTTCATTAAGTGGTGAAAAATTTTTTTTCCTATTCTCCCAACTTGGATTATAACTATCACATTTGTTATCATAACTAAAAGCAAAACCATAAAATTTAAATGACTAACAAAATTTAACTTACATACATGCAAAATTAAGATTTCACAAATTTGGGGAAAATTTAACGTAACTAATCATGACTTACCTTTTCTACTAGTGGTATTAACTGCTGGTGTTCTGCTAAAGTCTTTAATAGCTCCATGATGAAAGGCAGATAATTATGCTTCCTTCTAATATTTTCAATCTGAAAGTGAATCAGAAACACTGCAGAATACTATCTTCTCCATACTAAATTTTAAAAATTAAACTCATATAAATACCATCTAAGAAACAAATACCAATGAAGAATACAGACCTATAACAGGCATTACATTTTTAAAAAGAAATATCAATATTGTCAAGTCATATGAATCTATACCTCATTCAGTAATGCACTGTAGTAATGTAACATGCTGGTTTAAAAAAATGAATTCAATATTCTTATTAAGTCTTTCACAAAGTACTGCTTTACAGAAGTAACCTTAGGTTCAGCAAGGCTATGTCAACAAAATGTAAATTCTCACAGGTTTTATCATGCTAGAAAGGTTTTGAGCATGGTCCCAGCAATGGACTATTTCTGCTTCCTGAGGTCCAACCTAGCTTATTACCACTTGGCTGACCACTCAGTAACAAATTCTTTGGTTATGGCAACCTACAAAACAAAGGAAAAAGTAAAACAACCTTTGCTCCTATGTTATGACACTTTACTTATATAATGGTAGTGGCACAGAGGCAGATAATGTTGTAAGAGATGTTATGGAGGCCAAATCAATAATACCTGGAAAACATTTGGATATAGGAGGTAAAACAGAAGAGTCAAGGATGTGTATCGACCTAGAAAAAGGAGAGTTTGGAGGAAGATATAGAAATATGAGTTTCATTTTGGATGTGCTGAATGGGACATTCAGGTGGATGTGTCCAGCAGGATTGGAATGTTAAGATAATACAGGTGTCTCTCAATTCTAACCTTCTCGGGTCTTTAAAAAAAAAAAAAGTATGGCACTCCATTTTGTTTTCTGAGAAATATTTATTCACTATCTACAATTTCAGAAAGACTAAAATCTAATTGCACTGTACCTAGATAACAGGACAGTTGTCCTATTTCTAAAGTTCAATAAAGATCTTGAATTAAGCTAAAGTCAACAGCAAACCAAAGGTTTAAACTCAAATCTTTTTATAACAACTTATCTTTTCAAAAAGGAAATAGAAACAAAATGTAGATCTTAATAAATTCAAAAGGGAAGATTTAGGTTTACCTGTAAATGAAAACAACACACACAAATTTGACGACAATGTTATCCACAATATGGCTTCTGTGAGGGCAATCTGAGATATACAAATCCACTGACAATTACAGGTAAGTTATTTCCTTCCACTATTATACCAAGGTGAAGTATATTCACCTGGGATCTGGGCCTCACTCCGAGTCTCACGAGCATTTCAGATTCCCCTCCCCACAGGAATCTATTACCAGCCCAAGACAACAAGCTGAGGTAAATTCATAGGAGATATGAGCTCTTACATCACCACTCTCTAGCTGGAACCTGAAAACTGAATATTTCTCCAAGTTTCTCTATTAACCACTCAGCATTTTCCCCTTCCTTCCCTGCCCAAGACTAGCTTCCTTCGATTTCTTTTCTAACCTTCTGTTCTCCTGATCCTTGCTACAGTAGGCAGAAATCCATTCTTATACTCATCCCTATTCAATTCAGCCCTTTCTTTTCCCCTAGTCCCTATCCTTCTGTGCCCATCACTTCCAGGTGTCCTTTGGAACACTTTACTTCAGTACTTCAAAATATATTCAGTTTGGGTACACCCTCTATCCATACAGCACAACCCCTGTACAACTCACTGGATGGCCAAGAGTTGCTGTAACTCAGAAGTACATCACCTTATAGTTCTAGGGGCAATAAGCCTCTGAACTGATGAGAGATATACAACCCATCACTGAGTCCATCCTCATGGCCTTTCCAAATTGGTAGGACCCTGTACTCCACTTACATAGCCCTTGAAAAAGCAGGATCATCTCTGTGCCGTGATGAAGTACTGGAATAGGTCTTTACTAGGAATTATAAGGTCACAACTTGTATTATTGTAATTTGGTTTATCCCCCTACTAGATTGTAAGTTCCTTAAGAGGATGCAGGGTGATCTGTTTCAACTCCAACACCAAAGACAGTGCAGTACATATAGAAGGCACTTCATAAACATTTGTCAAATGAAATTATTAAGCTGAATTATAGTCATAACTTCATTTACAGAACCCAATTCATTGCAGTTCACAGCAAATGACTAAGACGATGAATAAACATCTACTTACTGTGTACATACCTACCCCCCACACACACAGAGGATTCTTATAGCTATAACATTATACATTTAACATTTTTCTTGATCTTTTTTTAACAGACTGCTTTACTGCTACTTTTTTTCCTTCTCATTCTTCAAGACTAGGATCAGAAAGCTTATTCAGTTCACCTCAGCTACTTCAAAGACTAGCTATCTGGATTCACATGTGACTATTCAGTTATCACTGATATCTAGCAGGACCTGATGGCTCTACAGGTTTAGCAACTTTTCTGATTTTATTCCTCCATGTAAGTAAGGTCTTCTTTATTTTATGTAGCTTCCCTTTTCAGGTACATGACAAACAGGAAGGAAAACCAATTTCTACTGTTATTTAATTCATGGCTAAGGATCACCAAAAATTAATCAGCTGGTACATATGTTGGCCAAATTTCTGGTAATAAGCCTTTCTATATTTAGCTAGAGTTGTAGATGGAGAGTAGACACAATTTAGGTCTATACCTGAAGCCTATCCAGCCTGACAGAACCTGACAGAGCTTGCTGCAATTCACTGACATTGCCTTCAAGAACCCAACAATGAAGAATCAGGTGGGATTTTTGTGGAAAATGGGGAGAGGGAAGGAAAGAGAGGAAGAAAAGAAGAGAGAAGGAGGAGGAGCTACAGAAAGAAAAAAAATTTTAAATCTTGAAATAATTTTAAAAGAAGCATACCTTGTATCTTTTTAATTTCTGAATTTCTTCTTCAATTAGCATCTGGTGTTTGGCGACTTCTGACTGAATGGTACTTAACATATTACTACTCTGATCTGTATCCATGGGTTCCTCCTTGGAAAAAAAGAACAGCAACACTAAACATTAACATTGTCAACATTTTTAAAAGGATAAGTATGTAACAGAACAATTACTCTGAAATTAACATTTAAAATGTTGGTAACTGAGTAAAAGTATTCTAAAATATAACATTAACACACATAAAACTCACAACATTTCCAGGTATAAAAATATGTTTATGTGAAATAAAATACTTGACATATGGATATTTCTCTTTTTCGCAAGATTCATTAATTTTAGTCAAATTACTGCACATATTTTCACTATTAAAAGTAATTTTCCTTTTTAGTCAGAAACAGAGAATCTAAAAATGCTATGCTAAAAACTTTTACAGAAGAACTTAGTAATTAATATGGACCATTACTACAATATATACAATACATACTATTAAGTATGAAGTATGAGTGACATTTTCTAAGAAAATAATCTAACAAGAAAAGTAATATGTTCTAGTAAAATGTTTAAGTCTCTGAGGTCAAGGGCTATTTTTCACTCTATATCCCAAGCACCATGGCATACATCTTTGTGTATAGCATATACTTAATAAATATTTATTAAATTAAATATACATAAATTCTGACAACCAACCTCTGCAAGCTGTCTTTGCAATTCAGCTATTTTCTGTTCATATATCATTTTTCTGTCAGACACAATGGCCATCAGGTTAAATCGTATTTCACCTTCACTGTATCTAAAAAAGATTTCTGAGAATTATTTCCCATTTTATTATAGCAGAACAAAAAGAGTATACTGTTCTCAATAAGAGGAAAAATTATAGTAATCTATTTAAAAATTACCTTTGAAAGCAAGCCAAATACCCTAAATTGAATAACCTGTGCAAGCAGATTTTAAAAGTTCACAAACAAGAACAATCTATGGACAAACCAAATTCCAAACCGGATTGCATTTGTAACTGCTTTTAGACCAATACTTTCATTTTTCATCAAAATGCTTAGGATGATACTAAGCATACCTCTTTACCAATTCCCCTTATGGCAATGAGCAAGATGAGAACAAATATTCAGGAAAAAAAAAAGGAAAAATTTTATTTTCTATTGATAAGAGTTAAAGGCAAACTGATTTTTGCAAAATTTTTTTGACCAGGATAGTATCTTATGTTTGTGTCCATGTCCTGTTCTGATATTACTAGCTCTTATCCTTTTCCTAAAAAAAGTAAGCCTTAGAACAAGGATGAATAACAAGAACCTAAAGTGACAAGCAAATAAAACACATTTAAAACAGTTGTATGGGGTGAATTTTACTAAATTTCAAGTACATTTTCTAAAACATTTCACTTTATCTCATGAAGTATCTTACACACGGCCAGCTTAAATTACCAGATAAATTTTGTCCATCATATGTAAATACACAAGAAACAAATTTATTTACTAGCACAACACAATGATTGTTATGTCAGAGCACATTTTTTTTTAACTCCTCAGAGATGACACATCACTACTTAAAATTAAAGGATTTTCTACAATAATAGCAATGGTATTCTTGAATGACATTAAGTTTGCTAAAATTAAATTATTTTTTAAAGAGTTCAGGCTTGACTTTATTGGATGCTAATCTTTTTGTTTTTGATTTTTTTTTTTTTGGTGAGGCAATCGGGTTTAAGTGACTTGCCCAGGGTCACACAGCTAGTAGGTGCCAAATGTCTGAGGTCAAATTTGAACTCAGGTCCTCCTGACTCCAAGGCTGGAGCTCTATCCACTGCGCCACCTAGCTGCCCCAAATTAAATGTTTTTTAAATAAAGAAGATAAGTCCTAAACAAATTTTTAAAACTGGACTTTGGCGCCCATAAAATTTCACTGAACACTTACTTTTGTATTCTTTTCTCTATAACTGGTCTTACTGCATTAATCCAGTCTTCTTGATTACACGCACCTAAAACAAAATGGAAAGCATTAAGTAAACTAAGATGTGAAAAAAGCAACATGAAAAATGTTTGGCAGGTTTGGTTTAAAAATATGTCTTTTCAGGCAATGGTGGCAGTTATGAGGGGAGGAAAGCAGAAAAAAAAAATTTTTCAATGTTAACTACTTGTTGTTTTAACTCTCAAATGTCTGCGGTAACCAGGACCAGAGACAGAATGAGAACTGAGCCCAAGAGATAACACAAAAATATAAAATAGAAACCTAATTTCAACCAATAAGTCTAACTTTAATTTCAAACTCTTATCTCTTAGCAGAGTGACAAATAAGGTAGGAAAACTTGATTGATGAATTTCGTCTTTTATTTCCTCAATTTATCCTTTGATGCCTATGGGCAGTTGGTCAGATAAAAAGAAGCAAGAAATGCAAGGAAATGGGATAATTCATATATCAGAAAAATTAAGACAGGAATAAGGAAAAACAAAAGATATGCACATTTAATAAACTGGAATGGACTATACGAGGATTATTTGTTTTTTTAAAATTAATTGATTTTGAATTATCAACAAACACTTCCATAAGCTTTTGAGTTTTAAATTTTTTCCTCCTCCTTCCCCACTTCTCTCCCCAAGATGGAGCGCAATCTGATAAAGGCTATACATATACATTCCTATTAAACATACTTTTACATTACTGATGTTGTAAGTAAGAATTAGAACCCCAATAGGAGGAACCACCAGAAAGAGGAAACAAAACAGAACAGAAGAAAAAAAATAGCAAATAGTATGCTTTGACCTGCATTCAAACTCCACAGTTTTTTCTTCTCTGTGGATAGCATTTTCTATCATGAGGCCTTTGGAGATGTTTTAGATCCTTGTTTTGCTGAGAAGTTTTAAGTCTACCAATATTAGTCATCACAAAACGTGGCTGTTACTGTGTACAACGGTCTCCTGGTTCTGCTCATTTCACTTAGCATCAGACCATACAAGTCTTTCCAGGTTTTTCTGAAGTCAGCCTGTTCATCATTTTTTATAGCACAATAGTATTCCATTCCATTCATATACCACAACTTGCTCAGTCATTCCCCAATTGATGGGCATTCTCTCAATTTCCAATTCTTTGCCACCACAAAAAGAGCTGCCATAAACCTTTTTGTACATGTGGGTGCTTTTCCCATTTGTATGATCTCTCTGGGATATAGCCCTAGAAATTCTATCGCTGGGTCAAAGGGTATGCACATTTTTACAGCGCTCTGGGCATGGTTCCAAACTGCTCTCCAAAATGATTGGATCATTTCACAACTCCACCAACAATGCATTAGTGTTCCAATTTTCCCACGTCTTCTCCAATATTTATCATTTTCCTGTTTTGTCATGTTGGCCAATCTGATAGGTGTGATGTGGCACCTCATTTGAATTTCTCTGATTAATAGTGATTTAGAGCATTTTTTCCTATAACTATAGATGGCTTTTATTTCTTCATCTGAGAACTGCCTGTTCATTTCCTTTGACCATTTATCAATTGGAGAATGACTTGTATTCTTATAAATTTGACTTAATTCTCTATATATTTTAGAAGTGAGGCCCTTATCAGAGAGACTGGTTGTAAAAATTCTTTCCCAATTTTCTACTTTCCTTCTAATCTTGGTTGAGGATTATTCTTTGACATGCTAACAGAAAAAGAAGAAACAAGTGTGTTCTCAGACTGTCTTCATGACAAGTTTCCAAGAGTTATAAAGGAAATTAAATGGGACTGACACTGAAGAACTGAGGGTGGTTTGACTATCTGAGGAGAAAACAGAAACGGAAAAGATGAGGCTATGTTGTGGAGAAAGGGAAGAAGAAAGGGAGGGAACTCACTATATCTCACATAAAAGGGTTGCATAAAATAAAAAAGTATAGAAGGAGCAGAGGGAACTGGAATCTGATGCTTTCCTCTCTCTCACACTCTCTCTCTGGTATATCTGCTTATTTATAAATACTGAGAGTAGGGGTAAAGAGGAAGAGAGAGAAAAGTACAGGAGGAAGGAAGAGAAATACACAATTAATAATCACAATTGTAAATGTAGCTGAACAAACTGATCCATATATAAGATGACAGCAAAATGGATGAGAAAGCAGAACTGAAAAATATGTTGTTTACAGGAAAAACACTTGAAACAAAAATTCACAAAGACATCAAATGATAAGCTGGAGCTGAATTTATTATGCTTCAAGTGTGAACTCAAAAAAGCAAGGGTAGTAATCATGATTTCAAATAAGGATACAATAAATATAGACATAATAAAGGCAGAAAAGCAGAGAAATTAAAAGCACATTATAGCACGTAAAAACTTGAAAGGAAAAATTAATTGAATACAGGGAAAAACAGATAGCAAAAGTATAATAGTGAAGGGATCTAGACCTGTTTGGACCTAGACAAACCTAACAAAAAGTTAAACAAGAAGGAAATTAAGGACCTGAAAAGAACTTTGGGAAAAAATAAAAATGACAGATCTCTAGAAATCAGTGAATGGAAACAGTTTATATACTTCTTCAGTGTGCATGACACTTATAAAAATCATCCAAGTACTGAGGTATAAAAGTCTCATCACCAATGCAGAAAAACAAAAATTTACAGATTAAAATGCAATAAAACCTATACTTAATAAAGGGCGGCCTTCGAAGAATGAATTAAAATTAAGTGGAAACTAAATAACTTAATCCTAAGAATTGGAGAGGATCTTCCCTTCCCAAAAAAACTCACTGAATTAATAAAACTAGGAGCTGGGCTTTTGAAAAACAAAAAAAACAAAACAAAACACTAATAAAACAGATAAACAATCTCATTTTTTTTTAAAGAAAGGAAAACCAAATTGTTCATATCAAATATAAAGAAAATTCTAAACAATTAAAAATGAAATAAAAGAAACTCAGGAAATATTTGCTCTACGATATGATAATAAAACTGATAAAATGAAGGAAATGAATATTTACAAAAAAATAAAAAAATATAAAAGCCACAACTTTTGTCCAGAAAGTGACAAAAAGGAGGCTAAACAAATCACAGAAGCCATGGAAAATTTCAAAGAAAATGACAAAAATGAGACAACATAACAAAACTGAAGGGAAGTAGCTAAAATAGTCCTTAGGGGGAAGAAGAGGGTGGAAAACTGCTATCTCTAAATGCTCTCATCAACCAAAAAAAAAAAAAAAAAAAAAGAAGAGGAAAAACAAACCAATGAACTAGGTATGCAATTAAGAAAACCAGAAAAAACAACAAATCACAAACACCAAAGCAGAAACTCTGGAAATCAAAGAAGAGATTAATAGAATCAAAACAAAAAACCCCCAAGTCAAAAAAATTCATTCAATTAATAAAACTAGGAGCTAGGCTTTTTTTTAAAAAAAAAAAAAAAAAAAGAAAGAAAAAGAAAACAAAATAGTAGTAAAATAGATAAACAGTTAGCTAATCTGATTTTTTTTTTAAGAAAGGAAAACCAAATTGTTCATATAAAACAAAAAAAAAATTCTACACAACTGAAAAGGAAATAAAAGAAACTCAGGAAATATTTTGTTATATGATATGACAATAAAACTGATAAAATGAATGAAATACTTACAAAAATATAAAAAATATAAAAACCTCAACTTTTGTCCAAAAGGTGATTTGATTACATAGTACAAAAACAATTAACCAACATAAACTGTTATTAGCTATATAACAAAATATGCTTACCTAAATCAATTGGTCCTTCTCTTAATCCATCTAATTCATATAGCCTTCCGTTGACAGGAACATAACTAACAAAATGAAAAGCATCTTCTTCTTTTGCTGATGTTTTCGCATCAAATTCGAACATTTGTTGTCTAAAGTAAGCAAAAAATCAAAGTTAAAGAGAGAAAGAATGAAATATTAAAGATAAATATTTCCTTTATATAATATAAACTCCCACTACCTGGCAAAACTGTTGTGGACTTGTCGAATCACTTCTGAGTTGCTTAATGCCAAACCTTTCATCTAAAATTTTAAAAATTAAGCATATTTTAAAAATAAAGCATATTAAAGTGAGAATTCACTTCCCAAATAATGTAAAAAAATGATAAAAGTGTCATACTTACAGCAGCATCAAAACTTTGCGAAAATTCTTTAAACTCTGAAAGTGTTTCCCCTAGATGGACATCTTGATGAGTACAATTCAATAATACACTAACTATTGCTTGAGTTGCACAAGCATTATTTATTACCTTTAATATAAAAAAAGGGAAACATTGTTATAAATAGTTAATTTATGACAGTAGTCACAGTCCAAATGAATTATAACAGTGACTTTCAAACTGCGTTTCAAAGACTCTCTGGGTTCCTTGAGGCATAGTTCCTTTTAAATTATAATTATAAAAGATACTTAACTTTAGTTCTTTTCTAACCCCATTGGGCAATTAACTTAAATTAATCTGGGATACCAGTACATGAATATACAGAACACATTTGTGATCTCAAAAACTGAAAAAGCAATGCACAGAAAATCACTTCTGACTATTCCATCTCTGAAATTTAGCTGGTTAAGTTAAAGTTGTAATTTTCCCTTCTGTTCTTCCTACCTTCACTGATGTTATTACCTAAACTTAAAATAATATTCTAACCCTCCAAGCCAGCTCAAGTCCTATCTCCTTCATAAAATTTCTAATTTTACAGCCTATATTGGTCACTACTTTCTCTAAACTCCCATTAGCATTTAATTGACAAATCCAATGGCCTTTTCTCAATCCTCATTGTTCTTTGACATTTCAATCATCCTCTTTTCCGAGATACCCTCACCTCTCTAGATTTTTACGATATCACTCCCCACTGGCTCTTCTATCAGTCCAACAGTTCCTTCTCAATGTCCTTTGCTAGAGTTTCATCCAGATTAATTTCACTAACCTTTGGTGTCCTGTCTCCCAAGGATCTGTTCTCAGCCCCTTTTCTCTTCTCTCTATATACTGGGAGTTTTTAAAGAAGTTCATAAACTTAAAACAATTTTTTTGGATAACTACATTTTAATAAAATTAGTCTCCTTTGTAATCCTAGGTATTTTATGCATTTAAAAACATTCTAAGAAGAGGTCCAAGAGCTTCACTAGACTGGCAAAGGAATCTACTACACAAAAAATGTTAAGAACCCCCGTCCTAATCTCTTTCCTGAACCCAGTCCTATATCACCCTCTGCATTTTGGACATCCTGAATTTGATTCCTGTGATACCTCACAAACTCAACACGCCCAAAACAAAACTCATTACCCTTCCCTCCAAACCTTCCTTTGTTTCCAATGTTCCTATTACTGTCAAAGGCACCCCCATATTTATTGGTACTTACCTCACATATCCAATCTGTTCTAATCCTGTTATTATCTTATCCTCTTCTCTCCAGTCACACAACGTCCACTCTGCTACAGGCCCTCATCAACTCACTCCTGAACTATTCCAAAAGCCTCTTAATTGGTGTCCTTGCCTCATTTCTCCTCATCCCAAACCATCCTCCACTTAGCTATCAAAGTGAATTCCTAAACCACAGATCTGCCCACATCAATCCCCTAACTCAATAAGTTCCAGTGGTTCCCCATTACCTCCAGGATCAAATATAAAATGCTGTCTGGCCTCTTACAACCTAGCTCCTTCCCACCTTTCCAGTCGACCCTCAAAACACACATTTGAAAATTCAGTTACATTGCCCCATTTGCATTTTCCTTGAACACTGAGTCTTCTCAATGATTGGCCTTGTAATGCTCTTTCTCTTCACCATTATCTCCTAGCTTCCTTCAAGACTAAACTCAAAACTAACCTTCGGCAGGAGGCTATCCTAGTCATCCTCATTACCAATGCCTTCTTTCTAAGATAATCGTCCATTTGCACTGCATCTGTATTTCTCTCACTCTCTCTAACACACACACACACACACACACACACCACAGTTATCTGCGTGCCGTCTTGTTGACTAATAAATACTTGACTATAATGGAAGTGAAAACTAAATTTCAATTAACTTTGCTACTGACCAATTTGTAACTACTGTTTTATGAAAAAAAAAATCTCTAATGTTTAATGAACATTGATAAACATTAAAAACCAAAACCCAGATGTCTGATTCTCTTGTTTAAGAAGCAAGTTGTCAAAGAAATGTAGGAGGACTTAAGACAAATCCTGTTCAGTCAATCCTCAATATTCACGCCTTTAACTTTTGAGACTTCAAGTTCTCGTGATTTTATTAGTAACCTCATTTTCACTTTTGCATTAGCAACTGCACACAATTTCAGCTATATGCAGGACAGAAAAAAATGAGAGGTGTGTAAGTTTGTGGAGCAGCAGGTGTCCATCCTACTAGATGTGTCACTGGTCTTGTTCACCCTTTGTAAAGAGCTCCCATTGCATTCACTGCATTCATATTTTCCTTGTTTGCCTCTAAAACTCAAGTCTTGTGTTGCTATTATGCCCCTGCTGATCTGATCAGGCTGGTGCATCCTTCACAATAATTTCCAATGCCATCCATAAGCCATGAAGGACAGTGTCCAAAGGTCCCAGCAACCTAACCCGTTGGTTTATAGAGGGTGGCCAAGGCATAGAGGTTTACAACAGTACATTATACAGCCCTCACACTGCAATTTGACACAGTGGAAGGTAAGATTCAGGTTTTAAAATGTTTTAGTTTTAAGACTTTATTTGCTGTACAATATCTATTGTTACTATAGATTTCATTGTTAAGAAAAGTGAATACTGTCTGAAATCAATGTTTTGTTTTTTGTGGTTTTTTTTTTAAACTGAGATGTTAGCATAAAAGGTCACAGAATTCTAGGGAATTGTTGGTGAGAAAAAAATGTCTTGCCTGTTGCCAATTTTATTTTGTGTACTGCATTTTATGGGGTACTTTATGGTTACTGTGTTAGGAAAAGTGCATATTATCAGAATTAATGTTTTGTTATAAAGAATTATATGCAGAAAATTGTATTTTCAGCAATCTCTAGCAAAATATTACAGTTTTTGGTGGTTGAGGGAACCTAACATCCTATTTCCCATAGGTTCAATGTATCAACATTCAAGTTTTTTTACTTTCTCACCATTTTCTAGGAACATTACCCCAGTGAAATTTGAAGACTGCTTGTATTTGCCATGTATGTAACAAAAAATTATTATGTATTAAAAGTACTTTATGAATAGCTTTCTATCAAGCACTGAGGGGAATTCAAGCATATAACAACTCTATGTTCAGGTTGTAATCTACAGTAAATGTTTTAGTAACATGTCTACCCTGTCAATGTACTACAGAGAATAAGAATGGGCACTGTGCAAGAATAATATGCAAGGGCAGCTAGGTAGCGCAGTGGCTAGAGCACCAGCCCTGGAGTCAGGAGACCTGAATTCAAATCTGGCCTCAGACACTTGACACTTACTAGCTGTGTGACCCTGGGCAAGTCACTTAACCTCTGTGCCTACCGGAGGGAAGAAAAAAAAAGATAACATGCAAGTTTTTTAACTGTTCCAAATTTTCCTTGGCCATTTCATATACTCTCATAGCTTCACCCCACTCATGGATAACTCCTCCCACACATCCATATTTCTAGTCATGATATCCCTCTGGAGCTCCAAACCCACATTTCCTAAAGCCTGCCAGATATCTCCTGCTGTACACACCACTCAATCCAAACCAAATTTACCCTCTTCTTCCAAAAATCTACTCCTTCTTCTAACTTCCCTGTAAAAGACATCACAATTTGTTACCTAAATTTGAAATTCCATTTAAACTAAAATTCGTTCCTCAATATTCAAAATGCTTCATTTTCTTTTAGGGCTCCCAAAATCTAATCAACTGTCACTTCCTCTCAATCTTACTGCCATAATGTCCCTTGCTTCTAATTCCTTCCTTGCCATTTTCATTACCACCATACTACCTCAAAAGCTATTACTTGGATCATTACAACAACCTGACTTATCTCTCCCGAAGTCCTAGCCCTAACCAACTACTGATGTCAGAGTATTCTCCTTAAGGCACAGTACTGATATTCATTCCACCACCTATGCTGCAAACTAGACTAGTTGACATTCTCCAAACACATAGTACATGGATGTTCCAGTCTCTGATATTTATTTATGTCACTCCCACTTGCCTACAAAACATGCCTTCTCTGCTTGTCAAAATCCTACCCATCTTTTAAGGCCAAGTTATGTTGTCATCTCTTCCATGAAGTTCTGACTCTCCCAATCATAAATGATCTTTTCCCTCTTCTAAAGATGAATAGAATATTATAACTCTCTTATAAAAACACTAAATACATTCTACTATGTCATCATTATTTGTATGCCTTTTTTACTTCACCATTATAAGTTCCTTGAAGTCTATTTTATCTTTGTATCTCTAACAGTGCCTTGGACATAGCAGGCAAATCATTAAATGCTGAATAATAAATTAATTTCTTTTCAATGGAATCAGACCACTATAAAAATAATGTTCTGGTTAATATGGCCAGTTTTGCAAAATAAAAAAAACCTATCTGCCTATGCTGTTTTCTAAAAATATTCTCAGATTTTTAAAATGAATTTGGTGCCACCAAGTGGCTGAACTATATACTACTAATTTAAAAACAATCAATCTTTAACTGTTAATGTAGTGTAGGTAGTGAATATTTAGTGAACAGGTAGTATTGAACTTAAGAGTCCAAAACACACAAAGTTTAAATTCTGCCTTACACGATTAGCAGCTATGTAGTCTTAAGCAAGTCACTCAACCATTCTCAGCCTCAGTTTCCTCATCTGCAAAATGGGCATAACAGTATGTACCTTACAGGATTGCTGTGCTGATTAAATGAGAAAATTTATGCAAAGCACTCTGCAACTATTAAAGCATTATCACAAAATCATAGAATTTGAGAGTTGGGACACCAGTAGGACTCCAGTACAAATCATACATGAAAGGAAACCACATTATAACATACTCAACAGACGGCTTGGATAGCTTCTGCTTGAAGATTTCCAAAGACAGGGAAACCACTTTCAACACAAGGCCATTCCCCTTTTGGACAGCTCTAATTGTTAATAAGTTTTTCCTAACATCAAGCTTAAAGAATGCTTTTTGCAGCTTCTCTCCATTGCAACTTGGTTCTACCCACTTGAGCCAAACAATACACGTCTAATAATTAATTTCTTCCACATGACAGACCTTCAAATACTTCTATTATCATGTCTCTCTTGAAGTTATCCCTTCTTCAGGCTAAATATGC